ATATTTTTAAAAATTTCTCAGTTTTAATGTCAAAAGATGGTAGAAGAGCAGGGATATGAATCCAATCTATAATCTACATAAACAAAACCTCTTTGGGGGTCCTCAATTTTTAAGAGTGACAAGAAGTCCTGAAGGCAAATAGTTTGAGACCTACTAACCTAGAAATTAAATAATGTTAATATAGAATGATATAATTAGAATAAAAAGAAAAATTAAATGTATTCCAGGTATACTTGCCTTGTCCCCCTCAACTAACACGACTAGAACTAAAAAGAAAGAGAATGAATTATACATTCAAAGATGCTCATCCATTTACTCATTCAGGAAACCCCTCCTAAGCACCTAATTTGTGCAGGTCCTAAACCAGTTGTGAGTGAAACAGAGAGGGGGAAAAAAAAGAGAAACCTGAAGATGTGACCAGCATAAACATTAAACATTTGCTGGTTCTGAATCTGACTAGGGGACAATCCCTAATACTACAGGTCATGTGTCCTCTGCAACTAGCTGCTCCCTGGGACACCAAAGAGCTGAGGGAAGTAAATGGAGTAGTGGGAATACCCAGTCCCTATTTCTTCTGGGGTTTTGCTTAAAGAAGTTCTAGGGGATGAACTTCCACTGGGCACGACCAGCCTACTTCTAGGAAGAACTGTCTACATGGAGAACAGCAGGTAAAACTTACCAAGTTAAGCGTTCTCATTCATATTATTATCATTAAAAAATAGAGTATTCCAGGAGAATTTCAGCCTACATTTTGAGAATTTGCCAGAATTGACCTAGCAAGAACAGGTAACCAGTACAGAAGCACGATGCAGTGGAAAGAACACTGTGAGTGGCATCAAGACACCTGGGCTGCACCCCAGCTCTGCCTCATCCCACTGTGTATCCGTGAAAAGCTCCATTCCCCACTCTGGGCCTCAGCCTCCCCATCCAGAAAATTAGGGCACTAAATGATTTTTTAAATGATTTTTAAAATTTTAAAATATTAAGGGGGCACAAATGTTTTTGGTTACATGGATCGCTTTTGTTAATACTTGAGTCTCAGTTATAGGTGTTCCCATCACCCAAATAATGCTCACTGTATCCATTAGGCAGGTTTTCTAAATGGTTTTTAGTAGAGTATGTGCTCCATAAGAAGCAGCCCTCTCATTATTTCACCTCTGTACATCAAGTAGCTTGCACAGTACTCTACAACAAAAGTATTTGTTGTGAGTAGTAAATCTAAGGTTCCTTCCAGTTCAGACATTCTAGAATTCTCTATAAGAGGTCACAGATGTGCTGAGAGGAAAAACTCCAGGATAATTTTCAAAAACCTTGGGATGTTGTGTTGTTTATGGACAGACAGACAGTGTAGGGCTTCGTATCTTCCAGCTTAACCCATTTTCAACACTGTTATCAAACTAAAGACAGATGGCATTCATAGATCTAGGTCACTGGAAACTGCAGGTGCTATAAATGGATTGGCTCTGCCTAGAACTGATTGGATTCTTACCTGGTATATTCAGAGAGCCATACTTTTCAGGTGAAGAGTATTCATGGGACATTTTAAGGAAAAGATAACTTTTAGAATTACTTACCCGTGAATCAATAGGATCTTCTTGGTGAGCTGCTGTATTCAATGATTTGTAATGAGTATCTTCTGGAAAATATTAACAGTTCAGGCAGCCACTTCCTAATCTCTGTAATTAGTGAAAAGATGCTCAGGTTAATCTCTATCTAAGCATGTTAGCACCGAAAAGAAATTTATAAGGTAAATAAGGACCTTGTTTAAAGAGACTGTTAAGTGTAGTTTTCCCTCACAAAGAAAGAAATATCTCACAAAATTCCAAGATTATATAACTCTCACATTTCCGACAATTAGGAAAAGTATACTGTAATGTTAATTATACATCTATTTTAATATGCAAATATATTTAAATACATCATTAAACATTTTTATTTTACTCATAATATAGTACTTCTGTTCATCAAAAATCTTCAGCATTGACTTACTTCAGAGTTTACTGCTTTTGAGAAAAAGGCAATTTCTCTTTTAAATGTATGACTCCTAGAATTTGAGATGGAAGAGCTTTTCAAAATCATCATATAAATCTTTTATTTAAAGATCTGGAGAATAGTGGCAGAAATATTATTTGCTCAAAATTATAACTAGGTAGATCTCTTGACTTCTAGTCCAGAATATAAATGTCTAAAAGAAGAAACAGTTTTATTGCATTTTAACAATTCTATTTTAATAATTCAAATAAATCCTAATTATCGAATGACAGTGTAGCTTATTCTGAGAAGTCAGAGCAGCACAGAAGAGTCAGAATAACATTTGATCTTAGTGCATTAGCGTCTGAATTAGGGCTAGTTCTGAATCACAGTTCTACTGTGGCCTTAGTCAAATTGTTGAACCTAAGTCTCAGTTTCCTATGCGTAAAATAGGATAATAACTCTATCACTAGCTTCTATGAAGATTAAAAATAGCACTTAAGATGTGCCAGGAAGTGCTCTAAGTGCTTTATATTTATTAAATCATTTAATCTACTCCACAAGCCTCTGAGATAGTTACTGTTACTACAGGTTGAACATCCCTAATCTGAAAATCCAAAATCTAAAATGTTCCAAAATCTGAAACTTTTTGAGTGCCAACATGACACTCAAAGGAAATGCTCATTGGAGCATTCTGGATTTCAGATTTTCAGGTTAGGGATGCTCAATCAGTAAGTACATAATGCAAATACTCTAAAATCCAAAAAAAAATCCAAAATCTGAAACACTTCTGGTCCCAAGCATTTTGGATAAGGGATACTCAACCTGTATAACCATTTTGCAGATGAGAAAAGTTAGGCACAGAGATGTTAAATAACTTGCTCAAGTTTACATCACAAATAAGTGGTAGAGCCAAAACTTAAACCCAGGCAATCTGACTCCAGAGGCCCTGCTCTTGACCAGTGTACTACTATACTGCATCTCTACAAAAACCAGTGCATATAAAGCCTTCACTTCAACCTGGAAAACTGTTAACAATAAATGATCGTTACTAGCATGATTATGAGATTAACAGTAATAATAAATGGAAGCAATTTCACCTGTATTAATTCTGCCCATAATACATGTATATTAAACATATATACCAAATATACATAGATAACATATACAAATGGATATGAATCTGGAGGATATTAAGCTGAAGTCAACTATGGCCCCTGACCAGAGTGATTGATCCCAGTAAGGCAAAGAATTCATTATGTTATATATCAAGGCAATTAAAAAATCTCAAGAACGAAGTATATGTCTACATTTTTATTTTATGAGTAAACTAAGACTACAAAAATACTATTAAGTTATCTTCCTTTGTTTATATTATGAATGTGTAATACTTGAGAGGAGGGATAACATCTTGTTCATTTCTGTATCTGTGCTTTGAGTATGGAGAACGGATGCAAGGCAAATATATCTGTTGAATGAATGAATGGCATACTAAGATGAAAGAGTCTACTTGATGGGATGCTTTTTAAGGGCCCAACAACATAATGGCCCTTTAGAACTGCCCAACAGCAAATCCTTCAGGGAGCAGTCACCCTTGTGTTGTCTCAGATTTCAGGCCCAGAAAGGCTGGAAAGGACTTGGGAAAGCCTACAAACTTGATTATGGCTTTGGATGTCCTTGCTAGTTCCAGTTGGAACCAGGCCTAAATCTGAATCCCAAAAGCCACTTCTGCCCCAATCTGCTTTCCAAAGGGCCTTGAAATACCCAGTGGTCACTCTAAACATAACTCAGAAAATTCTCTTTTAACTTTCCAATGCAATATTCCTTGACGTACATCAGTACATATCCAATCCTTCTATTCCATGAAGAAACCGGGACCCATTTGTGACTTGGTGAAGGTCACAAGGGCAGACCTGGTGGACCAGACCTCATTTCCCTGGACTTCCTCAGTCCATTGCTCATGCAAATGCTGATTTCCCATCTTCCTCCCTCTCTCCAAATCTCCCTCTGCATACATTTAACCTATACTCTGGGAGACCAAGGCATCTATACCAAAACCATGCTCTAACAGAAACAAAACCACAGGCAGAAGCACCTGGAAGATGGTGTAGTTCGACCCTCTAACGGACACAGATAGGGGAAACCGAGGCTCAGAGAGTAAGAGGGTCTTACCCAAAGTTACTCGAGGAATCAGTACTAGGCCAGAACTCTTAAAGTTACCTCAAGTTTTAGGAACAACCTGCGTGCAGTTTTTCCTTTCTGGCTGTTCAGATCACAAATGTTCCTCTCTCTGCCCATTATGCAAACGGCTAAAGCTTATTTTTGATATATACGAGGAGGAAGGTGAGGAGGATTTCCCCCAAGATGGATGCGCCAGCCCAAGGCTGACTCTCAGAACCCGCTCTCCCTTTCGGCCAGAAATGGGCGGGTGCGGCCCAGAGAGCGCGAGGGCTCCACCCTCCCCGCCTGCTGCTACCCGGCTTTCTCCCGCCTGGGCTTCCATACCCACCGGTGGGCTGGCGGGGTTGGAGCTGAGGCCGGCTGGGAAGCGGAGCCGGAGGATGTCCGTAGTCTCCAACTCCACAGCCTCCCGCGCCTCCGCCCCTAGCAACGAGGCTCACGTCGCTAGGGCGGGAGTCCCAGCGAAAAGCTTCCGGGCGCCCTTGCTGGACGCCGAACGGCAGTTCCGCTCGCCTGACGTCTCCCGGGAACCGAACGAGAGCGCCCCTCCCTGTTTTCTTAATGTAACAATCCGTTGATAAGGTCCAGAGAAAAGGACAGAGGTGCCCAAGACCACGCTGCCAGAAGAATCTAGGTAATCCAAGAAAATCGGGTATCACTGTAACAGCCACAGAGGAAGCACTTAATGTCATCTTTTAAATTATTATTAGCTCAGATAGAGGTGTTGCCTTATTTCTTTGGAGTTTTCCCTGAGTCCAACCAGAGATCCCTCCTTTGGACACTTCCCCAGTCCCCCACTCCGTTACTCCTTACATTGTTTTTTTCTTTCATCAGACCGTTACAGCCCGGCACCATAGCAAGAAGGCCTCTCAGCACCTTTTTGAGATGCAGTGGGAAGACAGTTCTAGAAACTAACAGCAGCCACAAGACAAAGTTTTTACAGCTGCCGTCGCATTGCTTCCTAACTAGAGTCCATTCACATCTGTATTCCTGTTGCGCAGCACAGGGCTTGGTATACAGAAGGGGCTTGTTGAATGTTTGTTGAATGAATAAATGAATGGCAGGGATCCTATCCAACATTTCTTTTGCACCCTAGTAGATGCGTCTGCTGTGCTGATCTCCCACCAGAATAGCTTTCAGTGAAGATTTGTGGAGTTTCTGAAAGTTGAGTGCCTGTGAGGGAGTGGAGATGGGAGAGAAGTTTGCCTTCACGGAGTATCAGGGCTGGCCAATGGGTCTATCTTCCAGCCAAGGGAGGGAATCCCCACCGCAGCATCCCTGATGGGGGTTCCTGTAGCTCTTGTTGATGCTCCTTCGGTGATGATGCACTTATTACTTTCTGAGTCAGTGACCTGGTGTTGGGAGATTTCCTCCTGGCAGGAGAGGAATGTACCCCTATGCCACTTGCAACACTGACCTTAGTTCAGAGCTGAGGGTTCTCTCTACAAACTTAATCCCTCTTCCCCTAATAGCCTAGTAAGCCACAATCAGGATAGACTTACTGCTTTGTCCTGGAGAATGGAGCTAGACTCAGTGCAGCTACAGAGTTGGATTGCTAGATCTCTGCCCTCATGATGTTCCTGCTCTGGAGATGCAGCCCCCCTGAGAGATGCTTTAGGCTTAAGGCACCAGAGACTCCCAAACTGGTACTGCAACCAGACCTCTTCCTGAACCAGACCTGTATGTCCACCTGCCTTCTGCCCATCTCCATCTGGCTGTCTAAAAGACACCTCATCCTTGACATGACTCATACTGGAAACATCATCTTCCCCTCAAACCTGTTCCTCCTCTTTTCTAAGTGCTGAGCACTATCATTCAGCAATCACCCAAGCGAAGGCTCTAGGAGTCATTTATAACTTCTCCCTGTCTTCCTTGTTTGAGAACAATCCCCAAGACTTCTCAATTCTGCCTCCCAAATATCCTAAAAATAAAAATCTCTCCACTTCTCTCTACCTACCACCTAGGTTCAGGCCAACATCATCCCAGGGTGTGATAGATTAAAAATGACCACAAATTCTTTGTAGCTTCTCCTATCAGCGCTGCCCTCGTAACTTGTTTTTACCAATAGAATGCAGCAGAAGTGACATTGCAATACTTCTGAGTTTACTTCTGCAATACTTCTGCTCTGATCCTCTTGGAACACCACCACATGGGAAGAAGATTAGGCTAGCCTATTTGAGAGACATGGCCCATCCAATAGCCAGCACCAAATGCCAGACATGTGGGTGAGATTATTTTGAACTATCCAGCCTTAGTTGAGCCATCAGAGGACTGCAACCATATGAGTAACCATCAGAACAACCCAGCTGAGCTCAGCTCAATTTACTAATCCAAAGTATTATAAACAAAACAGTTTTCATTTTGAGCCACTAAGCTTTGGAGTAGTTTATATACATAATAGATAACAGATATCCAAAGTGAAATTCAAATTCCTTCATTAGGTCCATAAAGCTTGGTATATATCTCTTTAGCCTCATTTTCCAATTCTGCCTCCCACATTATATACTTCAGTGGTTTGAACTACTTGAAGCTTCCTGACTCATTGTGCTAGCTGTTACCTTTGAATCCATAATTTCATGCACACCCCTTCCTAACCCTCACCTCTCATCCCTCAGCTTTACACTACCAGTGCCTCTGTCTTAGCCTATTTTGTGCTGCTATAACAGAATACCACAGACTGGGCAATTTACAGTGAACAGAAATTTATTTGGCTATGGGTCAGAGGCTGGGAAGTCCAAGATTTAGGGATGGCATCTGGTGAGGGCCTTCTTGCTTCATCATAACATGGCAGAGGGCATCACATGGTGAGAGGGAAGAAGCTCGCTAGAGGGAAAGAGACTGAACTTACCCTTTTTTCAGGAACCCACTCCCACAATAATGCCATTAATCCATTCACAAGAGCAGAGTCCTCATGAACTAATCACCTCTTGAAGGTCCCGCCTCTCAACACTGTTGCATTGGGGATTAAGTTTCCAACACATGTACTTTCAGGGGCACATTCAAACCATAGCAGCCTCCAGCTCTGTCTTATGTAAATATAATCCTAGTTCTTGACTCTTTATTGCCTGAGTTGGTTGTTCTTTCCTGGACTTGCTCAGTTTAGTAATGTCCCTCCTGTGAAATGGGCTGGTCCTAAGAGCCCTCTGGAGAAGAGAGCTGGTCTCATCTAGTTTGGTCTGGCCTGAGAGGAGACAACTCTGTCATTGGGGGCCTAGACTTCATCACAGGGCAACCATGTGATCTGAGTTTGTCTGTAATGGCAGACTGCCAAATCCCTTTTAAAAGTGGCAGTTGAAACTGGCTGTGCTATGACAACATCACAGGAGGAAAAGAAGCCACAATGTCGATAGTCCCACTGCTACTCCTAGACACTGTGCAACCGCAGGCAGATGACTTCCAGCTCCAGCACCAGAGATGTTGGAGCAGGATCGGAGGAGGAAGGGGGAATGGGAATAGGGCCTGGCAGGGTGGGGCCCACCAGGCTGGCAGAAAAGGCTGGACCTGCCACTGAGGAGCCCACCTGAGGGAAAGTAAAGGCTGAGGAGGAATAGTTCTTTCCGAAGACTTTCCTAAATGTTCACTAAAAAAAAGTTAAGAAAAAAAAAAAAAGACCGAAACCAAATGTCGTAAATGAGCAAGTGAAAGGGCAGGTTATAGAGCAGGATGGACACATAATCCCAATTTTATAAAAAGAAGTAAACTCCCGCCTGTATCATACAGTGGGGGCTAATGAATGCTTTGCCGTACACGTAAGAATCTGTGAATATATTTGTAGCAGGTTTTCACACAATATAAATTGTATGAGGTTCTCCGGAGACAGAGAAGCAGAGTTCATGGCATAAAAAGAAATCCTGCACTTGCTAGTCCTCTGCCTGGAAAGCTCCTTCCCTGGTGTTTTCATGCCTTGCTTTTTCCTGTGCCACTTCTCCGAGTGGCCTCCGAGATCATCTTTTCCACACCACACCTCCATCGTGCTCTCTTTCCTTTAGTACTTGAATCTTTTCATAGCTCTTATCACTACTGACATTATATTACATATCCATCTGTTTTATATGTCCATGAAAGCAGACTTTGTTCTCTTTGACTATTGTCTTCCCTGCGTCTTAAATAAGGCCTGCACACACACAAACACGGGTAGGGGCTCCATAAATCTGTTGAATGACTAAAATGTAACAAAGGTGTCCATTCTTCTCTGTCCCCAGTTGAGGGTGTCTTGCCTAGGCAAGAAGGTTCAAGTACAGCCCTGCCCACACCCCCAAAGGCCCTAGAAGTCCCCTAAGACCTCTAAGCAGCTTTCGAACT